ATTAAAGGTGACAATGCATAATTTGTCATATTTACGTGTTATGTCTATGGGAGGTCACTTTTTTCAAAACATGAATCTGCATGACAAGGTGTTTTGACTAGGATCTCGATTGTTATTCAATAGTTTTCCCCCAAATTTTAGTATGTTGTAGCTGAGACTATTTGCTATCTAATTATTTCCTCAATTTTTTTAATCAGTTGTCAGGATCATGCTCTTGCTCATCATCATCATTAACTTTATCGTTTTTATCGCCATATAACATTATCATTATCATCATCATCACCTTTACTATCATGATCATCACCATGTTCATCATGATCATCATTGTTTACATGTCTATATAACTTCTCCCATTCTCAAAGCTATCATAAGACTTAGACAGACCACCTTATTCGTCTTCGTGACGAATTAAATTCTAGTTATTATTATTATTATTGTTATAATTATATCTTATTATCATGACCATTATTATAAGTAGTATTACTGGTAGTAGATAAGGTATGCAAGAAGACCCCCACACCCGAATGGAGAACCGCTAGAGGAAGGGAAGGATGCGATATAGCAATAAGCAACGTCCGCATACAAATCAGCCCCCATCAGTTTTTAAGAAATTATTAAAGTCAAATTCGAAGCTGATTTTTCTATTGTCAACAAGGAACAAACCTTGGGTGGGGTTTCCATGATGTTCAGAAGTTTGCTGTAAAATATTATCAAGACACGCACCCACGTTAAGGTCGATTAATGAGATCCTAAATACTTCCCTCCCATAAACAAGCTCGATCTATGTAAAGGAAAATGTGCTCAATGAATATGACTTATCAATGGATAGGTGCCACTTCCGGTGACGTGACTATCTACTATATTATTTCGTATAGCTATGGCGCTGTTAGGAAGAGAAGCGTGGTTATTATGGGCCATTTTCCTAATGTAACCAAATGTATGCATGCATATGCCTTCGTGAAGCGCCTCGATGCGAAGTATTTCATTCATCTGCTACGAATAAATGTCAATAGTTTTCTAAAAAACTCATAATATTTTTCCTACCTTGCAACAACTTATGCATGCAATTTGAATTCTGACTACTAAAATTCAATTATCCGTATCTGTGAATGAAATAATTTGTATCGAGGCACTTATGTATAAGTTGGTTTCATTGCGAAAATGGTCTATTAACTCCAGAATTATACAAACACGCGTTTAATTTAAACTAGTAACTTTAAAATATTTGTTTTCAATACAGATTACAACTTGTCACCATCAGATGAGGAGTTGCAGAACTTGCTTATCAACCTGTAAATACAGAGATTAATCTGAAGGAACTTTAGCTGAACAGAGCTGGGGGGGGGGGGGGCGTTTCATCAAACAGAGTGGTGTGGATAAAATGTCTCATAACGAATTCACGAAGTGTTTTGGCCTCGTGGAGTTGTAGTGGTCTGCATAGAGGTGTTGCGGTCTAGTGGATACGTTTCCGGAATGTGAACCATAAGGTACGGGGTTCGAATCCCTGCTGCGGCACTAACGTCCTTTGTCAAGACATTATTATACATTTTCCACGCTCGACACAGGTTTAGGACGGTGATACCTGGTACAATTTATTTCTTGAATGTATTGTCAATATCCTAACGCACCTTGTCTTTTTGCCTATATGTACATTTGCTAATATCGAAACAGCTTACAATTTCCCGATAATATCGAGATAATAAAACGAAATAATTGTAGTATAATTAGAAGATATGAAAGTTAATTAAGTGTATTGCAAACGAACCAATATCGTCATTTTCTTTTTCGGTCTAATATATTTTGATATTTGCTAAGTACTGCGCCACCTAAAGTGAAACGCCAGAAAGGAACGATGGTGTTCTCGAATCACAGGCGATACAATATAGGCATAATGCTTATTACAAATATGGAACAAAATATGTTGAAAGATACATAAAAACAATATAAATTATTGTAAAGTATGTTTTTATACAATACAGTGTGAGTCAAAAACAAGTTTACACCTAGAAATTGCTAATTATTTAAAAATCATCTATGTTCAGTAAATTATTATACATCTTACGAAAGAGTGTTTTATCCCAAATCATTTGGTATCATTTTTGTGTGGTATGTGTTCACGCGTGGATGAACAGGAGGCATTTTTGCGAGAGTGCAAAAATCGGTCATCCAAGCGTGAACAAATACCACACAAATATGATACCAAATGATTTGGGATAAAACACTCTTTCATAATATATATAACAACTTACTGTTCATAGATGATTTATTAAATAATTAGCAATTTTCTAGGTGTAAACTTTTTTTGACTCGGCACACGGTATTTCAAATTAGATTAAATGTTCAGAATATGACAAACGGTAATTCATATAAAATATATTTGTATCGATAATCTACCTGCTTGTGTATTGCATTAATCATGGCAAATGATATTAGGGTGAATGTGTAATGAAAACGATCATAATAACTGATCATCGCCAACGTCATTGTAATTTCTTATAGTACTCCAAAATCAGATATTCTTCGTTGTGATAATGTTATATATTCAAAGAACAGATGGTCGTCAATGTAATGTATTATATTGCAAAGAGAAATCCAACCTAAATAGCAAACTCCTCTAGAGGAAAGCAGATAGATCAGAGAAGTAGACTTGTGAAAGATGAGGAAGTAAAATGCCTTATCTTCGTATTCAAAAAGTATTTCACTGCATTTAACTTTGTTTCCCCTTAAATTCGTCCTATTATTGTTATCATTAGTGGTATAATAGTCGTAGTAGTAGTCGTAATATCAGTGTTCCTTTCTGATGCACAGCAGCCATAGCTCATCTTTTCTCAAACTTTGATCCATCGACCAGAGAGTTAGTCAAGAATCTGGTCTATTTAATTTTGATCTCCACCACACCAACGCTACCTCTCCCTACTTCCTTGCTACCAGCCGATGATGGCGTGACGGGGCTGGTGAGCATAATTATTATGAGTTTGTTTATACCGCCATCTTCGACGGCTTGAATCAAGTGTGTAGGGAATTTATCAAGGACCATGCAGATTCTGGACTACCGGAGAGTGAGAGCGACAGCACGAATCGAGAGGGGGAGGGAGAGAGTCGAGAGAGAGAGAGTGATGAATATAGATGAGGAGAGGGAGACAGAGAGAAAGATAGAGAAAGAGCAAGACATATTGAGGGAGAGAGAGAGAGAGCGAGTCGAGAGGGGAAGGAGAAAGAAAGAGATAGATGGAGAGAGAGATGATGAGAGGGGATAGAGAGAGAGAGAGAGAGAGAGAGAGAGAGAGAGGGGAACAGAGGGAGGAGGGGGGGGGGGAGAAAGAATTATAGATAGATGAAGAGAGGGAGAGAGAGAGAGAGAGAGGAACAAAGATATATATATATATATATATAGAGAGAGAGAGAGAGAGAGAGACATAGAGATAGATAGAGAGAGAGAGAGAGACGGTAGAGAGAGAGAGAAAGAGAGAGAGACAGAGAGATAGATAGAGAGATAGACAGAGACAGAGAGACAGAGAGATAGATTGAGAGAGAGAGAGAGAGAGAGACAGAGAGATAGATATAGAGAGAGATAGATAGAGAGAGAGACATATAGATAGATAGAGAGAGAGAGAGACGGAAAGACAGAGAGAAAGATAGAGAGAGCGATAGATAGAGAGAGAGAGACAGACAGATAGATACAGAGAGAGAGAGAGAGAGAGAGAGACGGCAGAGATAGAGTACACAAGAAACAAGAGAACAATGATCATAGAATAATTATAGGGGCGATGGACCCCTGTGGAGATCAGCTTTTGTCGTTAGGGTGTTCAACCCCATGTGAGGAGAAGAACAATTATGACTAAAATAAATGTTGAGTAGCGAAAAAGAAAAATTGACATGAAAACTGAATGAGAATGGAGAAAGAAAGAAAGGTGGAAAAAGCGACAGAAAAGGGAAAGGTGAAGATGGAATGAGAGAGATATAGATAAACAGTGAGAGAGAAAAGAGAGAGAGAGAGAGTGAGTGAGAGAGAGAGAGAGAGAGATGAAGGATAGAAAGCTAAACTGATACCACCAAGTTGTTGAGATATCAATGAGTAGTAGCCACTAGAGAATACAAATCATAATCAATTTTGTTAAGAGCTTCAATTGGAAAATGGGAACGTCGGTAATTACCTAATTGTAGACTCAATACTGGCTTACTCTGTAGTGCCCTTGCCTAATAGTGTATTAATTATAATAATACAATGCGTATCAAAATAAAAATCTACACAACTTTAATAGCTCTTAATTAAACGTTCATAACCAACATGACTTTAAAATCTATTTCATGATGAAGAATAACTTATTCTCTGCTCAATGATATCATATTCATAATATTTTTGATAAGCCTGCTGCTCATTCATCCGTGGCAGCACAATTATGAGTATGGCATCATTAGACAGGATTTTAGTAACCCAAAACCATGATACATGATTTTCCTTTTGTTTTGCTATAAACACTGCATTGTATATGGATTTAAACGGTATATATGTTTACAGAATATTGATATGTTACATTACATTGTTAATTGACTTATATGATGAACATGTTCCCAAACAGAATATTGATTGTTACATTACATTGTAAAGTGATTATAATTATGTTTATAGACAGAATATTGGTGTACATCAATGAAGTTTAATAAATACAATACAATACAATACATGATTCAAGGTCACAAAGGTTATACTCTCTTTGATTAGAAGCTACCGTAGTTGTATACACTTTTTTTGAAACGCACTGTACACATATTTCATATGGAAAAAAAACGTGTACATCTTAGTCATCTGCTGTATAGATGGATGATATGAAATATACATGACCGCTTTTGTCAGGCACTGTCGAACAATAGAAGAGTCACGTGATGGAGTGACGTGTGCAATATGCATATTTTTTTTAATACCAGACCAACGGAATGATATGGTTTGAATCGAGGGTTGCTTGTGTACTTACCATTTCGAGGTGTGTTGGAGCATTTGTATGTACAGACGATACGCGAAAAGGAAGGAGTGTTAAAGCATTCAAGGTTAGGTGATACTGTATCACGGATTCGAGTACATATTTTTTATATCCTACCTACGAGACGGTTTTGCCTTTACTTGGCGTTCTTCGAAAAGGTAAGAATTATATATATAGTAGATTTCTGCCAGGTAGATTTCCATTTACACAACGATTCTGGCCAGTGTTAAGCTCACTGAGAATTGGCGGATCTGACTGCCATTAGATTGGTGAGAGAAAGTCGCGATTGCATTAATAGGAATTTATGCAAAAATAATCATCCTAGTTGAGATTTTTAGCAATGCTAATCCAACTAATCACAATATTCGTGCATTGTAAGCCTACTGGCCGAAGTAATGGCCAAGTTAGCTTCAAATTGGAGATTGTCGCACGACAGTCTTTAGTGTATACGACTTGAAGTGAGAGTACCACAAAGACGGTTAAAGTATTTCGATATTTCGATTTGGTGCAGCATGTAGCAACTTAGAGTGTGTGGTTGTTATTTTACCTGACTGCTAAGAGAGCATAAAGGCTTGTTAGTACGCAACCAGAGGACCGACTGCTTTAGGTCCTCTCGGAGGGACCTGGTAATGAGGATTAATGCCTTATCAAAGGTTTCGAACCCGGGTCGCCGGAATACGAGACCACTACTCTACCAACTGAGCTATCGTGCCTCCTCAAGCATAATCTCGAGATCATTAATATTTCATATGCCTGAAAGTTGAGTCAAAATTTGATCGCAGTCAGATCATAAAATGTCTGATAGGCTTTTTCATTAGAACATGTAAAATGATCTGTGTGCCGATATGCGTGTGTGTCTTTTCTTCATTATGTACATTTGGCTTGTTGGCATGGAGTGTACGGTTTATTGATTTTTTTAAAATACAAACTCAGACTCGCACATACACGAACATGCAGCGTATTAAATATTATACAGTCATCGGTGGAATTGACATAATATTGCGTACAATATTCGACTCATTTTGATAATTTTTCAGGGCATTCAATGCATAGAATCGACTTCTAGAGCAAAGTAACATATTCATTTTACTAATTGAATACGTGGAGATGACTTTGGATCCAAGGGTAAAATGGCGCGTGGCTGGAATGCTCCTCAGGGAGTGAAGAATGTACATATATTATGTGCGGGAAAGTATTGTAATAATAATAATAACGATTATATTACTATTTTTATCAGCATCATTAGCATAATCATAATCTTAATTTCTATTTACCTATTTTACACGGAACAGGTGCCAATTGCTTTTATTGTATATGTTGCAGTTTTTTTGTGAATACAAGATATATCAGCTTTGACTTTGAATTGTTATCAATAAACCTAATCAATCGAACTCAATTCAATAGTCAGCAATGACAGTAGTATAGTAGTAGGCCTAGTAGCTGTGGTTTCATTCTCATTCTTATTATGATGATTTTCTTTTGCAACACATCATGGGCCCAGGATTTATTATTATACTACATCCCAGATATCTTTATTATCAAGAGAAAAGAAGAAACATAATAGAAGATTATTTTCAAAACAAAGTAAAATATAAAGAAGAATAAAGTAGACACTATAATCATGACAATAATTTTTACGAAGTGACGGTAGTGAGGAAAATCGCCACGCAAAGTGAATGCAATTTTATTTCACTACCGTCACACTTTGTGAAAACAGCGACGAATTTACAATATGTCAAAAATGAATGTCTTTAAATCCTAATAAAGCAATTTTCTAAATATATTTCTAAATTTTCTAACTCATGCTATACAAAATAGGTAAATAAGGTACGTGTATGCAATGATCCACTCAAATTAACAGTCGACCCAAAACTTTTTGCAAATTAAACCATTTCACTGCAGTCTTCTTCGGGGTAATCCTCGGGGTTGATCATCTAGCAAATAAGTATTGGTATGTACTGCAAGGTTTTAGCTCATGCTGCAATGATAATTATAAACATTTGGGTCATTCAGGAGCCCCATGACTTTTACAAGCCGATCGCCTGTCTAGTTATCAAGATATTTATGATTGGAAATCGAAACCAAATTGTGCGTTTTCCTAACGGTTTTATAACACTACAGTCTATTGGGGGAAACGTATATGGTAAAAACGGTCACTCAAAGATTTTTACTTTTTTGAGGCACTTCTTGATCATTTTGAAGCGCAATTTGTGTAGGGCTTCAATATTACACCATATCACAGACATGGCCGTGCATCTCAGATTTAACATTGTTAAACGATGCCTTTAAAAGTGGGTATTCCTAGATCTCCCGAACGTGCATAAAGAGCGCATGCGCCTGAGAAAATGGATAATAGAAACATTATGTATGTTTGTCCGCTTCCCACAGACTGAGTAACTTTGTATTGTATGACATGGATAGCACGGGGAATCATACAATTTATTCGGGTAACACATACAATGTATTCAAAAGTTATTAAATCAAATCATCGTCAGGATCTTGTTGATAAATACAACAAGAACAGAAATGTACAGACCACTATACTAAACAAAATAAAAAAGGAATTACTCGTGCAATTTCCTATATAATTTAATAATATTAATCAACGATTTATATCCGTGTTTCCATATGAATATGTCATTGTACATTTGCTACTGTGTATTATGTATTTGTGTATAATATTTCTATTGTATATTGTTCATGTGCTTCACGTAATGCCAACAACTGAATTTCCAAATGGCCCAATAAAATTAATCTGAATCTGAATCTGAATCTGAATCTGAATAATGGAAATGACACCACATAAACATCGGTCATTAACAATGAATTAAAATCTGGCCAAGATACGACGAATTTCGTAGGGATCTATGAAATAAATGAGCTATTATATTTTATTCTTCATGAATATTTTGTCTAAATTATCCTACTTCAGTTACTATTCCGTTAGTTTTTTCCATATTAATTTTGTTTAAATTAATTCGATGTTAGGCTGGGCAACACCTTTAAAAGTGGTTATTCCCAGATCTCCCGCACATGAATAATGAGCGCATGCGCCTGAGAACATGGATATAAAAGACGTTTTTGGTTAGTTTTTTGCCCGCTTTCTCAGACTGAGTAAATTCGTTTGACATGCATAGCTTGAGGAATCATAACATCTATTTGTGTAAAACATACAATGTATTCAAGAGTTATTAAATCAAATCATCGTGAGGATATTGTTGATAAGTACAGTATTGTACTGACCACTATACTAAATAAAATCCCAAAAAGAAATTACTCTTCCAATTTGCTATATAATAATGAACGGGACACAACTTAACATCGGCTATTAACAATAAATTACAAGTTTGCCAAGATATGACAAATTTCGTAAGGATCTATAAAATAAATGAGTTAGTATATATTATTCTTTATGGATCTAATGTCTAAATTCACCTAATTCAGTTACTATTCCGTTTATCTTTTACATTCTTAAAATTAATTCGATGTTATGCTAGGCTACACCTTTAAAATAAATGAGTTAGTATATTTTATTCTTCATGAATCTTCTCTCTAAATTTTCATTCTTCAGTAACCGGTTTTTTTAAAATAATTGTATTAATTCGATGCAGGCGCGGATCCAGGATTTCTTAGGGGGGGGGGGGGGCCCAAATTTGAAATTATGCGAGCCAAATATTGGTACGTAATGGTGACCAGCAGTGACGTAATGCAGGGGGATGTAGGGAGGGGTGAGTTTCCCCCCTCCCTCCTCTGCAAAGCGCGGAAGCTATATATGACGTTTCATTAAAGTATTAGAGAAAGAAGACAAGTCGTTGTACCGTTCTCGACTCTTAATCCTTCTCTTAATTCACCCCCCCCCTCCGCGCAGCGCGGAAGCTTTGACGTTTCATTAAACTATTATTGAAAGAAGACGATTCGTTATAGCGTTCTCGAAAATTATCCTCGTTTGAATTCAATTTTCCCCTCCCGCGTGAAGCGCGGAAACTTTTACGTTTCATTAAATCATTGACGAAAGAAAACGATTCGTTGTACCGTTCTCGACTCTTAATCTTTGTCTTAATTCAGCCCCCCTCCCCCCCCCCCCCGTCTCGCGCGAAGCGCGGAAGCTTTTACGTTTCATTAAATCATTGGAGAAAGAAAGCGATTCGTTGAATCGTTCTCGACTCTTAATCCTTGTCTTAATTCAACACCCCCCTCCGCGAAGCGCGGAAGCTTTGACGTTTCATTAAATTATTAAAGATAGAAGACGATTCGTTGTACCGTTCTCTATACTCTTAATCCTTGTCTTAATTCAGTCCCCCCCCCCTCCGCGAAGCGCGGACGCTTTGACGATTCATTAAATTATTAGAGATAGAAGACGAATCGTTGTACCGTTCAAGGTGTGAGAAAACTCTGATTCAGGAAAGAATGCAAGGGTGAAAGTAAAAGCGAAAAAAGTGGACACTCTCACATGGCTTCCATGGATGCCGTCTTTGTTCTCTTTTTGCCTTCTTCTTACTCCTTGACCGTTCGCGCATATTTTTTTTTTTTTAAACTGTTTAGCCATATATAGTTCATGTGCAAGCACGTATACCCAGGGAAGAGAAGGTAATAGAAAAGGGAAAACAAAAAAATACATAAGGAGAGTGTAGAGGATATGGAGAAAGAAAGACAAAGAAATACATAAGAAATACATAACGGAAGGGCTTTTAGGCACCAAATTACGCATCTAGGGACCCGCCTTAGGCCCCTTGGTTGGGTCCAAAGGGCAGAGCCCCCGAAAGCTCAAGGACTTTAGGCATTTAATTACGGCCAGATGAGCAAACAGGGCCCGCCTTAGGGCCCTTGGTGGGTTCCAGGGGGTAGAGCCCCCGGGAGCTCATGGAAAAATACTGCCATTTTTAGCAATACTTGTAAATCACTGGTATCAAATTAAAAATAACCCATGTTTAAATTGTATTGGGGGGGGGGGGTGGGGGTTACTGCCCCCCCCCCCCATCAGTACGCCAGTGAAAGAGGCGGAGGTGACGGAAGGGACTACCCCCATAAAGCTGTATGATAAGTCTTATATGTAAACCCCTCACAGGTTTTTGAAGTTTTGTTGTGTTACAAAATTACATTCTTTAGCAAAACTACAGCATAAAAACAAGCAATATACTTTTTTCACGCTTCACTTTTA